CAATGAAAACATTTCTTGTCTTTGTAATCATAACTCTCTTAGAATATAGTCCTGTCATCCTTCTGTGATAGATCTTAGTTGAATTTTTAGTGGAGATCCAGAGCCTAGGTGAATTTGGAGTGTAGATTTATATAGGGGAGAAAGAAGGATCTCTTTGCATTCCTGTAAGAGGTTCTGCCCAGTTATATCTTCAGATCCACTGATCTACATTCCTTCAAGGATGTTTGTTCTAAGACCTGATGCTTCGCAGCCATACAAGAAACTGTCAATTCCAAAAGTGTGTAATCTCCCTGGACACACAAAGTGAAGGAAGCTATACTGAGTACTTTGAGTTATGGAGCCAGGTGAAGGTCAAATGCTCAGGGATAGGTCAGACTGCAAATTGAAACAGTAGCTCTGAAAGAGAAACCCAGCGCATCCATGGCAGAAATTCAAGGAAAGCTGCCCTTGAGTCAGAATTGGATTTAGCATGGAAATTGCTGGTCAGTGTTTTTTTTCTGAGATTGAGGGTTATGTGGTTAGGTAGTGATGTGTCCAGTGTGTATGCCTTCCCTGATTGGTCTAAGTTACATCGATGACTGTTTTCATGCCCATGTTTCTAATTGTCCATTATTCACATTGCCTGTTTGTGGCATTCATCATCTCTATTTATCCTGTCTTACTGTTAAAATTGAAACACATTTGAAAAATTAGTTTTGTGAATTATTAAACTCATTTCTTTAATGTAATTCAATTGAATGTTCTTCCTCCTTCTTGATTTAGTAGTAACATTTTGCATGTTTTCCATTTGAACAATGTTGCATGTTTTTATCATATTTTATGTTGCAGTGTGAATTTCTATATTTCTTCCTGTAATTTTTTAAACAAGAATATAATATGTTTTTCTATAATCTAGGAAGATTTTTATCTAAAAAATTGTGTTACTAGTGCTTTTTTTTTTTTTTTTTTTTTTTTTTTTTTTTTTTTTTACAGAAAGTGAATGACCCTACTGTCATCCAAGCAACTGGTATGGAAAGTTCTCTTTTATTGAATATGAACAAAGCTACATACATAAATATTGGGATGCGTGTAGGAAAGTGTAAGTCATACCTTTTGCAAAGTATACATTATGTAAGTTTTGGAAAGTAGATCAGTGTTTCAATCAGCTAAAGAAATTTTCACCAAAACATACACCAAATAGACTAGTGATTAGAGAAGACACAAGTTACTAGCTTTGAGTAATAGGTAAAGTTGAGCTAGTTATTGATGAAGCTGTATCAGTTTAATATTATGAACACTTTCCTGCCTGCCGGGTTCCACATCTGTGTCAGGTCCAAAATAAGACACAGAGACACTTTTGGTTGTAAAGCTGTTGGCAAATGGCTCCAGGATTTATTGCCTAGCTCTGTCTTTAAATATTAATCCATAATGACTAATATATGTATTTATATATGGTCTCATTTTTTGAGAATGCCAGACTCCTGTCTTCTCCTCCTGGGATCACATCGAGACCCTCCTCTATCCTACTTCTCCCAGAATCCTCCTTGACCCCTAGTCCTGTCTTGTAAGGAGTACGATTTTTCTGCCCGCCGCCTGGTCTTGTCCTGCCGCCATGCCGCCAGCCCCAAATAATGCACAGAGACTCTGCATTTGATACAATGCTATTGGCCAGGTGCTAGTTTCTAATTGGCTAGCTCTGTCTTGATTATTAACCTATTTGTGTTAATCTATGTATTTCCATGTGCTCTTCTTACCGGGAGCCGGCTGCCACGTATTGCTCTCTCCAGACTCTCCATCTTGGCTCCTCCTTACTTCCTTTTTCCTCCTTTTCTCCTAGTCCCTTCCATCTTCCTTTCCTATTGGCCAACAGGGCTTTATTATTAACCAGTATGAGAAACCTATACAGAATAACATCTCCCATCATCTCCTCTTTTCTGTCTAAATAAAAAGAAGGGTTTTAACCTTAACATAGCAAAATATATAACACAACAGTTATCAAATAAGAATCACAGTTAACAATATTTAGTCCATTAACATTTAGCAAGATTTGAAGAAAATATTTCATCATCTATTCTATCTTTGTGTATCTAAAGTCTAAGTAACTTACCTTTAATCCTAACTAATGAAAACTATAACCATAACTATCTGTCTTCAACTCCTTCAAAGACCACAGAAGGATAATATATAAACTCTAGAAATGACAGAGACAACTCACTGCCTGTTCACCCGAAGTTCTTTTGTAATCTTCCATCTTCAGCCCATAGGCCATAGTGTGTCTGGCAGACTCTTCAGCAAAGCAGGAAACTTTAAACTGTCTGACTGTATTGGCAGTTTGTCAGTCACTTTTCTCTGTGTCCTGCAGACTGTCTGGCAGACTCTTCCATGAAGCAGGAACTCTGTAGCAATGTCCATCTTGAATCACCAGCCACCTTTCTGTGGGTCCTGCATGTCCATTTTATACAGCATAAAGTCAAACAGTCCAGACAAGAGCAGTATCTTGTCTAAAGGGCTAGTCTTGCCATATTGAAAGCAAACTCCATAATGAGTTTCTTCAATGTCCATCTTCCTTTTGACGAAGGTGGTGTTGCCAGGAACAATTATGTCTCATTGTCGAGAAAAACCCTAAACCATTTTAAATGCCATATTCTGTAGGTCTTTGAAAGGTTTGAAGAATTCCTATCTATCTCAAATACATCTCTGTGTATCTTGAAAACCTAACTAACTTAACTCTAAGCTTTGACTATCATAGGTAATTATCTATAATCTGTATGTACTACATTATACATTACATTTCTAAATGAGCAATATAAAAACAATACCTAAACAAAAGGAGAAATATACACATCACAAAATTGACCTTAAATTGTATCAATAAATGAAAATCCATTCCAAAACAAAGTATTCGTATCTATACCATAATTCCCTTTTTACCTTTAAAAAGATATTGGTTGTGATCATTAACCATTTGTAACCAACCCCATTTGAATGAGGAAAGAATAGATGCTTATCTTCAAAGAACTCTCGATATGTTCAAACCACAGTTGTTCAAGAAGTATTAGGGCCTATAGAAGGCACATTTTTGAGCCTGAGGAAATCAATCATATCTGCAGAAATAGAAAGTATAATAGTATACATCACCAAAGTACTAGTTCAATAGGATACTATATGCTTCTTAAATTATTTCTGATGAGTTTATATAAAAGCAGATATTAAAGTAATACTTAACTGGAAGATGAAATGGATGAAGTCAAGAAACATGTGCAATGGATATTTTGCAAAAGGTGGGTAGTCGATTGTTTAGGCAGATGGTAGGAAAAGAACTTGGTGAATTATGAGTTTATCTTTCAGAATCTTGAGAGAAGTCTAACTGCATTTTTATTGCAATCAAATAGTAGATGTTTCCTGCAGTAGGGAGTTTTGTAAACAGAAGTAGGGAAATTGGGATACACTGTACCAATCACTCCTCCCTCCCACAACTCTCAGGTATCCAAATGTAATCTACATTAACCTTAGGTAGTGTTGGAGATAAATCTAAGTACATAGGAGAAAGTCACTTTTTAACTTCATCTTATTGTATATGAACTGATTCATAAATGAGCCTCAGAATATTTTGGCATGCCATTTGTATACATGAGGCTATTCAGCTTATTTGTATACATCTGTGCATGTTTTACTGTATGCATCAGTTATTTCAGTGCCCTTGATCAGTCATGGATACAGATCTGTAGCTACAAATGCTACAGTATAACATGAATAACATGTCTTCTTTTTGTCCTTATCTTGCACAGTTAACATATTAGAGACCCCATTCTATCCTCTAGAGCAGTTCCAGTGAGCTCTGCATGCAAAGTCACAGACCCATACAACCATAAGCTCTCATTTCTTTGTAATGCTTACCCTTTTGTTTTGTTATATGAAATTTTCTTATTGTTGGTGGTATTTTGTTTAGGGATTTTTCTAGAATCTCAACAGAGTAGGCATGTTTTGTGCCAGTGAGCTACACCTCTAGTTAATGGTATTGTGTTGTGATATGCTCTGGGCTCCACAAGGCATCACAGGGCACCCAGATGAGTGCTTCAACACAGGAAAATGTGCAACAGAAAAATGACAAAGTGACACAAACAACACAAAAATGTTCACATGGGTCATTCCCATCTGACCTGCTTATTCAAGGAATAAGGTAGTGCAGTTTTGCACAACTTCAGATTTGTACATCTTCTAATTCCTTTATTCACATTCCCTATTGGATACTTGGCTGTGACCATTTAACAAGTTCAGTCTTTCAGAAAAACCCCTTACTTCAGATGGAAAACACCTTCCCTTCCTGTAAACCATTCCCCTAACTTACTCATTGTGCCAAATTCAGGCACCAACCACACAGAGAAAGATCCCCTTGCAATGCAGTTGTGAACATGAACTGTTGTGTAAACACGGAGGTCCAAACACATAGAAATTAACTTGTATAACCTGAGTCCGTTCCAACACTGCATGCTGAGCCATTCTCTTCCTGTGTTATCCTCTGCTATTTCTAAGTAACTAGTGATATCCTAACCATGATAGTTTTAATAGAGTGATAGCTATAGCTACTCCTTTTGGTATTTCTCTTCATCTCTTAACTACACCGCCTTTCATGCTCTTCCCACTTTGTGCTTCAGAGTGACCTTAACTTATGACTTTCTGTTTTGGGACATGGCATTTCCTACAGAAAACCTCTAGCCGACAACTACTATTTCCTACTTGAAAAGTGATACCCAAACCTTACAGGCACACATCAATATTGAGTAAAATAAAGTATGCTCCTATCAGAATGATTTAAATGATTGCCCACCAGCACAGTAGAAAATTTTATGATGAAAGACTGAAATAAATTTCTGTCCAATAAATAAAAATAGTTAGGAATCATTAAACACTAAGACACCCTCATGGAAAATAATAGCTGTTCCCTTTTCGTATGTGGGTATGTGTATACAGTGTTGCACTATTGACATATTGAAATACCAATTAGTATTTTTATAAGAAGTAAATATTTCATCAACAGTTTACACCTCATTTTTTTTTTTTTTTACTCCTGCCTACTCTTTCCCTCTGCTCTATGCTGAACATCTATCTCTAGGCTGCCCTATGTTCCCTAATGCAATGGCAATGGAAGAAGAAACTGCAGCAGCCCTTGTTATTGATAATGGCTCTGGAACGTGCAAAGCTGGCATTGCTGGTGAGAGTGCCCCCAGGGCCGTATTCCCCTCCATCATAGGGCGGCCCCGCTACCAGAGAATCATGTTGGGCATCGATGATGAGGATTTTTACATAGGCAACGAGGCCCAACGCAAGAGGGGTATCCTGACCCTGAAGTACCCTGTTGAGCATGGCATCGTCACCAACTGGGATGACATGGAGAAGATCTGGCACCACACCTTCTATAATGAACTGCGTGTGGCTCCCGAGGAACACCCACTGCTCCTAACCGAGCCCCCACTTAACCCAATAATTAACAGAGAGAATACGATGCAAATAATGTTTGAAACATTCAAAGCCCCGGCCATGTATGTGGCCATTCAGTCGACACTATCTCTATATGCCTCTGGCCGAACAACAGGCATGACCGTTGAGTCTGGTGATGGGGTCACACATACTGTGCCCATCTACGAAGGCCAAGTCCTTCCCTATGCCATCTTGCGTATGGACCTGGCTGGCAGGGACCTAACCGACTACCTAATCAAAATTTTGTTAGAGCGGGGCTATACCTTCAATACTACTGCCTCCAGGGAGATAGTCCGTGACATCAAGGAGAAGCTATGCTATGTTGCATTGGATTTTGAAAAAGAAATGGCAACTGCTGAACACTCCTGCTTAGAGAAGAGTTACAAGCTACCTGATGGCCAAATCATCACTCTGAGCAAGGAGCAGTTCCAGTGCCCAGAGGCACTTTTCCAGCCCAATTTTCTGGGTATCAAGTGTTGTGGCATCCACAAAACCACAATTAGTTCCATCCTGAAGTGTGATGTTGACATCCACAAGAGCCTGTATGGCAACATTGTGTTGTCTGGTGGCACCACCATGTTCCCAGGCATTAATGACAGGATGCAAAAGGAACTCATGGCCCTAGCACCTATAACATTTAAGGTAAAGAGCATTCCCTCCAAAGATGGAAAGATTTCAGTTTGGATTGGTGGCTCCATCCTGGCTTCACTGCCCACTTTCAGGCAGATATGTATTACCAAAAGAGAATATGAGGAGTTTGGTCCTTCTATAATACTCCACAAATGTATGTAGATGGACTCAAAGTGATTGGGAAGTATAATTTTTTTCCTGCCAGACGTACAACCCTCTTATGAATTTACACAACTGTACGAGTCCTTTAAAAATAAATTAATACTTAAAGTTTGTATCTGAATATCAGCATTGGATGAAAGAACTTGCTCATTTTAGATTTTGTGTTCGAGTTGTATATTTAATATCTGTGAAATGTTTAATACCCTACAAATATCTTGATTAAGTCCTTAGTCCATGTGTCTTAGTCACCTGGATGCTGAGGGAACAGGCTAGGGAAGGGAAACCCCCTGCCTGGTGAGTCTGTGAGAGCACAATGCAGTGACCTGTGTGTGCACTAACTGACTGTTGACTGTTCCAGGATTTTTTTTCAAGTCTGGCAAGGGTCCCTGAAGCAATTACCACTTCTGTCCTACCCATCTAAGCCAGTGAGGAAGTCTGGCCTTAGGACCCAGTTTTGGTTCTAGTGTTTTCCCTCCTGAACCCCACGGGTTGTTGGGGTTGTCACTTGTCTGAAGTCAGGAATGTTTGCATTGACACCAATGAATTTATTCTTCCCTGTTATTTCAGTAAGGTTATGTGCACTCAAGTCTTTAAGAAATGACAAATTTGGATTGCTAATGCTCAGTGAAAAACTTAGGTCCCACAAACATGTCTGAAGGTGTTCAGGAATTTTGATTTTTACTTTGGAACACAAAAATATTTTCTTAAAATAAGTTTTTAAACATCATCATAACAACCAATGGCTTTATTTATAATTACTCATTATAGTTAGCTCAGTGGGCTCCTCAGCAGAATCTGTTTTGAGAGAACAAAACAATAGTTCATGAAAAGAGAGCAAAATGGAACAATGGTAGAAAAATTATGCTGCCATAAATAAGTAAATAATTACATTTCAATTATACACTCTGAGCTGCTTTCTAAAAAACATTGGCTAGGATCTATTTTCTCAGCAATGTTCCCAAAGCCAAGGGGTTAAATTGAATATTTCTTTTATCATTAATGCACCAAAATGAAATTCTTCATTGCTTGACAACTTTTCATTCAGTCTTTGAAAGTTTCAATAAAACTTTGAAAATTTTAAGAAATCTTATGCACATGACTAGCCCTCACCAATGTCACCTGGTATTTATTAGTCTGCCTCCTTCTAGAGTTCACGGCCTTAAAAAAATACTGTTAGCCCAGTGAGTCTGTTAGTGCTACTCATATGTTCACGGCTGTGCAGCTACCAGCTGGAATATGACCAAATGTTCAGCAGTCAGGACTCCAATCAAAAGTGATTCTCCTACTTTGGCAGCGATGAATTGCCAACAGCTACTTGAGTAGAGGAGAGTCCTTGGGAGCCCTCCCCTCAAAAAATATGAAAAATCTGACTGACTTAATCTTATGCCATTCTTATGTAGACCACACAAGTGACAGGAGTTGGTATATTCACCAGTCATGTCATGTTCAGAAAAGAGTATTTCCAGGAATTATCCCACAGTCAGATTTTTGAAGTTTTTTTTTTTTTAAACCTCAAAACTCCCTGAGCCTTGGGTAATGGGAACTTATTGTAGGTAACCCAACTGAAGCTTAAGACTAAGAGTAATTTTTCTTTTCACTTTAACAGGTTTATATGTCTATGCATTAAGTACTACTTTCTGCAAAAAAAAAAAAAAAAAAAAAAAAAATGTCTTCTCTGGCTGATGTTGAAAGCAGGACAAATCTATGAATACAATATAAATAACAAGAATTAGGTTGATAACACGACCACTGATGAAGACATCAGTGACAGGTTCTGTAACTAGGGCCTTTGACTTCCTTAGAAATGAGCATTTGACAAGGCTTAAATAGTATGTGATATCAAATCCCTCATATGAAACAGGTCTCAAATCCAATCAAAATGTGGTTGGTTGCTTTCATAACCATCATGCCACCATAGCAGAAGTGGAAACATCTTACTTCTCAGTTCATTAGTACAGTATCACTGAAAGTCCATGACCGGGTAAAATCACTGATGCCTTTCACATCTAAGGGCCCACAATATGAAAACCTGCCAACAGGGAGTTTACTGGTCAGTTTTGCATTGATTAATCAATGTTCTGCCACCAAAATGTGTGGGGTCTTTAGAAATATGATCTTTGCATTTAGTTATTTTGTGCAACAAGAAGCTTTGGCAAAAGCTTGTGTTGTTGTGGGTGTCTCTGCTTCTTGATCAGTAAGTAGTTCATAGGCAAGTATTCAACACCCGGTTCTCTTTTTTTTTTTCGCTCATTTACGTATTTATTTTTATTCTTTTACTATTTTACATATTGAACTCAGGCCCCTCTTCCTCCCCCCTCTCTTTCCCTCCCTCCCTCTCTCCTTTGCTCCCATGCAATCTCAACCATCCTCCCATTCCATCCCCCCAAAAACACACACACACACTCCACAAGGAAGGTGATATCTTCCAGCAAGCGTCAAGAAAATATGTCAAGTCATTTGGAGTAGGAACTAGGCCTGCCCTCCTGCCTCTAGGTTAAGGGATTATCCCTCCATGAGGAATTTGCTCCCAAAGTCCTTTTTTGCACCAGGGATACATCCTGGTTCTACTGTCAGAGGTCCCTTAGATTGCCGAGGACTTCTGGGACCCATATTCAGGGGGTCTGAGTCATTCCAATGCTGGTTTCCAAAGTATCAGTGTGGGGGTCCATTTGCTCCTCTTTGTTCAGGTCAGCTGTCTCTGACAGTGGGTTTCTATAGCCTGGTCTTGTCCTCCCTCTCTGTATCTGGATTCCAGTCTGGCTCAGTGTTTAGCTATGGGTGTCTGTTTCTGTTTCTGTCACCTACTAAATGAGGACTCCATGATGGTAGATAACTTAGTCATCAGTCTCATTATCAGGGAACGGCATTTATGTTAGCCTTTCCACTGTTGCTCAAATTGATAGTAGGGGTCAGTCTTGTAATTCTCTAGACATTTCTCTAAAGTCAGTTCTCTTCAAAACTATAAGGGCTCACTATTTTATGGTATCTCTCTTTTTATTTCTCTTGTCTATTCCTCCCCTGACTCTATATTCCTAGTCCCATGTGCTTTCTTCTCCTCCCCTTCTCTTTCTCCTAGCTCCATCTCCACTCACTGCCCCTCCCCCAATTCCTATATGCTCAGGAGATCTTGTCCCTTTCCCCTTCTCTGAGGGACCTTATATGAATCCCTTAGAATTCTCCTTGTATCCTAGTTTCTCTGGTGGTGTGAGTTATAGGCTGATGATCCTTTGCTCTAAGTCTAAAATCCATATATGAATGAGTACATACCATATTCCTCTTTTTGTGACTGGGTTACCTCACTCAGGATGGTTTCTTCAAGATCCACCTATTTGCATGCTAATTTCAGGATTCCATTGTAATTTTTTTTTTTTCATAGAGTAGTATTCCATTGTGTAAATGTGCCACATCTTCTTTATCCATTCTTCAGTTGATGGTTATCTAGGTTGTTTCCAGGTTCTTGCTATTACAAATAATGTATCTGGTTCTTGAAGTTATATTCAAAGTCCAAAGGATTCTCCAAGCAGCATTTCAACACTTTCCATTTTCCTCTGCATATACTCTTTTTAGTATATATTTTAAATTCAATTAGTGGATTTCCACATACTTCTTCATGGATCTTTAGTTTTGGTTAACCCACACCTTATGCCTTGCCCTCACATACCCTTTACTCTCATATCCACTTGAAATTTTAGTTTATTCTCCCACTGTTATTTTTTTTGTCAACTTTGGTCTATTGTCTCCTCCAATCATATTTTACTCAGGTGGCAAAATGATGAGTTAATATAGTGTCTTTACCTAATCCTCATTTTGATGAAGCATTTACCTCTCATTTCCCCACATCCTAACACCTCCATGTTTAGATATTTTTCAGCTTTCCCCTTCCATACTGTATTTTCAGTCTCTTCTCGCTCAATAGGTCCATCCACAATGCTTCATTTCTAATTATACAGCTTCCAAGTGTAGCCCTGTTTAGCATACAGAACCTTCAAAGATAGGGTTCCATATTATGAGAACATACAACATTTGACTTTTTGAACCTGGCTGATCTGGGAATATATTTTTATCTGGCCATATATATTGTCCTGAAATTTTCATTTCATTATTTTTACAGAGGAGTGATTGTATACATACAAGCACACACACAAACACACACACACACACACACACACACACACACACACAAATATACTTGGCTGTTTTGACACATATAACTTGCCTGTCACATGTCACTTGCACTTGTGTCTATGCACGTGACTACTTAATCCTCTGAGTATAAATTGGATGATGCTCAGAATAAACGTGGCTATTATGTGAGAACTTAATTCACAATATTTATCAGCCCCATTCCCTCATTTCCCACTGTTATCTTAGAGTGGTAAACACATTATCATTGGGAGACTTTGTGTTACTGTTTCAAGTTTGCTTCTAGTTTTAAATAAGTTTAAATCACTTATTTTATCTGGTTTAAATATTTATATAGGATGATTCTAGAAATGCATCCAGTGATTTTATGTGTTCTAATTTAGTGGAGTAGGACTTTTCTTGTTTTAATTATGCCCATATTCTTTTCTGAATTTCATGCATACCTGTAGTAAAGTTTACTAATTTCATGCCTTCTTTTACTAACTGAGGTATTTCATCCATTGATTTGTCTAAAAGTTTATCAATAGTATTTGCTTTTTCAAAGAGTCAATTTCATTTTAATAATATTTTAATTTTCTGTTCCACTAGTTTCAGCCACACTTTTCATGATCTTGTCCCGTATTATGTTTCTAGATATTTTTTTAAGGCCTTAAGAATAATCACATCAAATTATTGGGACTTGCCAGGTTATGGTTTCACATGCCTTTAAAACAACTACTCGGGAGGCAGAGGCAGTTGGGTCCCTGTGAGTTTGAGGCCAGTCTGTCTACAGAGTGCATTCCAGGAGAGACAACAAAGCTACAAATAGAAATCCTGTCTGGAAAAAAAACAAAACCAGAAAAAGAAAAAAGAATATT